TAAGTGGACATCCAAAATGACATGAAATTAACCCAAATGTATTTCAAAACTCATATGATTTGGAAAAATACTCACTAAACAAGGCTGGCTTGATGTTTTGTTTTAGTGATAAACAGTGGGGCTTATGGCAAGAGAAACAGTCAAGTCTTTAACTTGAGGACTGTAGCTTAGATGGCTGCCTTGCCTTCACACACTGTTGAGATACTTAACATAAAAATAACAGCAGCTGATTTCTGGCTAGGATTGTTCAATGATATGTACAATTTGCATGGGAAATTCAAACATAATTGATAAGAAGGTGAAAACTAAGTGAATGTGAGTATCATAAACATTAGTAAATGGACTGTTGTCTCCAAAATCTTTTCCATTATCTGAAATATTAAGAATACATGGTGTTGGGGCACCGGATTCTGTCCCGGTTGCCCCTCTTCCAGGCCAGCCCTCTGCTGTGGCCAGGGAGTGCAGTGGAGGATGGCCCAGGTGCTTGGGCCCTGCACCCCATGGGAGACCAGGAAAAGCACCTGGCTCCTGGCTCCTGCCATCGGATCAGCGCGGTGCGCCGGCCGCAGCGCGCCAGCCGCGGCGGCCATTGGAGGGTGAATCAACGGCAAAAGGAAGACCTTTCTCTCTGTCTCTCTCTCTCTCTGTCCACTCTGCCTGTCAAAAAAAAAAAAAAAAGAATACATGGTGTTAACTAAAATATTAGGATGATGATCCTTGTCATTTCTAAAGAGCTCAAATACTAAACATGAACTATGATGCATGAGTTAAAGGTGCTAGACTTGAAACATCCTTCATCTATGGTTTAAAGCAGCTAAATAGACTTGGCTTGCTCACAGGAACTGTGTTAGGAGAAAATGACACACGTTTCAGGAGAAGATGCAGTGCTGTTTGCCCATTCATACTTGCTAAGATTTAAAAGTCTTTTTTAAATAAGATTTTATTTAGGGCTGGCACTGCGGCTCACTAGGCTAATCCTCCACCTGTGGCACTGGCACCCTGGGTTCTAGTCCCGGTTGGAGTGCCGGATTCTGTCCCGGTTGCTCCTCTTCCAGTCCAGTTCTCTGCTGTGGCCTGGGAAGGCAGTGGAGGATGGCCCAAGTGCTTGGCCGCTGCACCTGCATGGGAGACTAGGAGGAAGCACCTGGCTCCTGGTTTCAGATCGGTGCGGCGTGCTGGCCGTAGCGGCCATTAGGGGAGTGAACCAATGGAAGGAAGACCATTCTCTCTCTCTCTCTCACTGTGTAACTCTGCCTTTCAAGAAAAAAAAGACTTTATTTACTTTGAGAGGCAGAGTTACAGATAGAGGGAGGGAGGGAGGGAGAGAGAGAGAGAGAGAGAGAGAGAGAGTGTCTTCCATCTGCTGGTTCACTTGCCAAATGGCCGCAATGGCTGGAGCTGGGCCGATCCAAAGCCAAGAGCCAGGAGCTTCTTCCAAGTCTCCCATGCAGGTGTAGGGGCCCAAGGCCATAGCAGAAAGCTGGATCAGAAGTGGAGCAGCCAGGACTCAAATTGGCACAAATATGGGATGCTGGCACTGCATGCAACAGCTTAACCTTCTACACCACAGAATTACACCCTGTAATTCTTTTCTTTCTTTTTAAAAAATATTTATTTATTTATTCATTTGAAAATCAGAGTTACACAGAGGAGAGGCAGAAAGAGGTTTTCCATCCATTGGTTTGCTCCCTAGATGACTGGAATGGCCGGAACTGTGCTGATCTGAAGCCAGGAGCCAGGAGTTTCCTCTGGGTCTCCCATGTGTGTGCAGGGGCCCAAGGACTTGGGCCATCCTCCACTGCCTTCCAGGGCCATAAAGAGAGGTGGATTGGAAATGCAGCAGCTGCCAATCAAACTGGCACCCATATGGGATGCTGGGACTGCAGGTGGCGGCTTTACCCATGATGCCACAGCGCCGGCCCCTGCAATCATTTCCTTATCTGTCAAGCTAAATAAGCATGTGGGTTTGATAACCATTTACTTTATCTGATCAGATTGCCTTGCTAGCTTTTGTCTTTGTATATTTGTTTGCATTCTTTAAGACATGATAACTTTAGATATTATTTTCCTCTTCCCATTTTATTTGGAAATCTCTGACAATTCATTGGGAATCATTTATGCATGTGAATGTCTGTACATATTTTGCCTTTTTTTTTTTTTTTGGACAGGCAGAGTGGACAGTGAGAGAGAGAGAGAGACAGAGAGAAAGGTCTTCCTTTTGCCATTGGTTCACCCTCCAATGGCCGCCACGGCCGGCGCACCGCACTGATCCGATGGCAGGAGCCAGGTACTTCTCCTGGTCTCCCATGGGGTGCAGGGCCCAAGCACTTGGGCCATCCTCCACTGCACTCCTGGGCCACAGCAAAGAGCTGGCCTGGAAGAGGGGCAACTGGGACAGAATCCGGAGCCTGGACCGGGACTAGAACCCTGTGTGCCGGTGCCGCAAGGTGGAGGATTAGCCTAGTGAGCCGCAGTGCTGACCATGTTTTGCTTTTAAAAATAAAAAGTATGAGGCTGGCATTTGGTGTACTGGGTAAAACCACTGCCTGCAATGCTGGCATTCAATATGAGTGCTGGGTCATGTCCCAGTTACTCCACTTCCGATGGCCTGGGTTCTTGGGCCCCTGCACCCATGTGGGAGACCTGGAAGAAGCTCCTGGCTTGTGGCTTCGGATCAGCCCAGCTCCTGCTGTTGTGGCCATTTGGGGACTCAACCAGTAGATAGAGGAGCTGACCTCTCTCTCTCTCTGTCCCTCTGTCTGTAACTCTGATTTTCAAGTAAATAAAAAAATCTTTTTTTAAAAAAAGAGTGTCAGATTCCATTATTGCTTAGTTGCCTGTTTCTTTTTATTTCACCCTCCAACTTTCTTACTCTGATGTGAAATGCAAGCTGCATCACAGAACACATGAAGAGGTTCCATAATGTCTAGAACACTGCATTGTGTAAATAAGAATATGCATTTTTATTTTTATTTATATATTTTATTATGAGAAAACATGTTCAGGATATATGATGATGGCACACGATTGTGTGGTGAAAAAGAGATCAGTGAGGACTATAGCAGAATTATTATTCTTAAAGAATATGACCCCCAAAAAGCATGTCATGTTGAGGTGTTTTTCACTTCATTTATGCTTTAAAATATTTTTATATGTTTACTTTCAGTTTGCTTGAATTACAGAGAGACATGTAGAGAGACAGAGATAAAGAAGAGAGACAAGGATATCTGTGTGTATACATATGGGGGGGAGAAAGAGAGAGAGAGAGAGAGAGAGAGAGAGAGAATGAATCTTCCATCCTTTGCTTTACTCCCCAGATGCCTGCAGTAACCAGTGCTGGGCAAGGCTAAAGCCAGAAGCCATGGTTGCAAATTTTGTCTCCCACATGTGTCTCAGGGACCCAAGTGCTTGAGCCATCAACTGATGCCTCCCTGGGAAAAAGAAGCTGGACTGGCCATGGAGATGGGACCGTAACCCAGGTCCACTCCCATGGGGCGTAGTCACAGCAGCAGCGGCTTGAGTGATAACACCAAGCACCCATGGCATTTGCAAGTTTTCTTGTGGATAGTTTCAGATTAATGTGCACTTTTAAGAAATACACTTTAACTCAGTTCCCTCCATGGTAGCATCTTGCAAAAGACGGTAAAATATCACACATGGGAGGCCGGCACTGTGGCACAATAGGTTAATCCTCTCCCTGCAGCGCCGGCATCCCATATAGGCTCTGGTTCTGGTGCTGGCTGCTCCTCTTCCCACCCAGCTCTCTGCTGTGGCCTGGGAAAGCAGTAGAAGATGGTTCAAGTGCTTGGGCCCCTGCACCCACATGGGAGACCTGAAAAAACCTCCTGGCTCCTGGCTTCGGATCGACACAGCTCTGGCCATTGCAGCCATTTGGGGAGTGAACCAGCAGACAAAAGACCTTTCTCTGTCTCTCCCTCTCACTGTCTGTAACTCTACCTCTCAAATAAATAAATAAATAATCTTAAAAAATCATACATGGGCCACTAACGCTAAGAACAACCAAAATACACAGCATGCACATAAAGCGCTATGCATCAGAAGCCCCCAGTGTGGCTCATTCACATCCATAACCACATAATGTCCAACCTCTCTCCACCATTCATGTGTTGGAATCATTTCAAGATGCTGTTTAGATGATAAACATCTGTGTTATAAAGAGAGATGAAGTAGATCCCCTCTGGGGCCCTGTCCTGCAGACTCTGTAGTGGAAACTATGGACATGGGGCTGGTGTAAAAACAAGACCTAGGGGCCAGCGCTGTGGCATAAGGGGTTAAGCCACCACCTGAAGTGCTGGCATCCCATATGGGTGCTGGTTCAAGTCCCGGCTGCTCCACTTTTGACCCGGATCTGTGCTGTGGCCTGGGAAAACAGTGGAAGATGGCCCAAGTCCTTGGGTCTTTGCATCCACGTGGGAGATCCATTAGAATCTTCTGGCTCCTGGCTTCGGATTGGCCCAGCTCTGGCCATTACAGCCACTAGGGGAGTGAACCAGCAGATGGAAGACTTTCTCTCTCTCTCTCTCTCTCTCTCTCTCTCTCTCTCCCCTCCTTTGCTCCTCCATAACTCTGCCTTTCAAATAAATTAATAAATCTTTTTTTAACTAAAATTTAATGAATATAAATTTCCAAAGTGCAGAATATTGATTACAATGACTTCCCCCCCATAACGTCCCTCCAACCCGCAACCCTCCCCTTATCCACTCCCTCTCCCCTTCCATTCATGTCAAAATTCATTTTCAATTCTCTTTATATACAGAAGATCAGATTAGCATACATTAACTCAAGATTTCAACAGTTTGCTCCCACACAGAAACATAAAGTGAAAAATACTGTTTGAGTACTAGTTATAGCAATAAATCTTTAAAAGAAAAAGAAGCAGGATCCTATATATGAGACTAAAACTCAATGATAAATAATAAGACACAAGAATGTATTAAATGGCACGTTATCTGGAAGAGATATTAAAGTAGTGATAAACAGAAATGATTCACTTTATAAAAGAGAAAAAATACAGTTTCAGAATTGCGTACTACAGATTTCATACATGACTTTAGTTTGCACAAGTATTGTAACCATAGAAGTAAAACGCATGACTTTTAAAATATAATTTTATTTAAGGTATACAAATCTCATGTATTTCCTGCACACAGATTCAGGAACACAGTGATTCTTCCCTTCCTACCTCCCTCCCGCCCACACTCCTATTCTTCTTCCTCCTCCCTCTCCTATCCCCATTCCTATATTTTACAAAGATCTCAGTTAACTTTATACTTGTTAGATTAACCCTCCATTAAGATACTACTCAGTACAATATATGTCAACTAGGAATATTGATAAGATATTCCTACTGTCTCATGAGGCAAATAGAAATTTCTACCTATTTCTGTTCAATTTTAGGAATAACTTTGGGAAAGAAGGAAAACATCAAAGGGGAAAACGAAGGATACTGAAGAGAGCAGAGCATAATAAGTGAGTTACTTAACTTGTATAGAGTAGTTGATTTCAACAATCGAAACCCCAGTAAGTAAGCAATGGGAGAAAATTCTGTCCTCACAATCAGATTTAAGAGTGAGAATTCCTGAGACTTTGCGTCCTGCTATTCTTGGCACTCCTTCAGCCCTAAGGCAATTGCCCATCATGTTTTCCTGCCCAAAAATATTTGCAGAGCCCTCTTTATCTCTTTATTCCTCAGACTGTAGATGAAGGGGTTCAGCATGGGGGTGACCACGGTGTACATCACCGAGGCTGTTGCAGTTGAGTGTGAGTCTTGGGTAATGGGAGAAGTAATGTACACACCTAGCCCTGTGCAATAAAATAAGGAGACGATGGAAAGGTGAGAGGCACAGGTGGAGAATGCTTTATACTTCCCCTGAGCTGAGGAGATGGCACGGACGGAGGAGACAATCTTAGAGTAGGAGTAAAGGATCCCAGCCATGGGGCCTCCTCCCAGGAGCACGACTGTAAAATAGATGACCACATCATTCAGAAAGGTGTCAGAGCAGGCACTGTGGATCATCTGATTCAGTTCACAAAAAAACTGGGGAACTTCTAGGTGTGTGCAGGACAGCTGTAGCACCAGTAGGCTGTGTAACAAGGCATGCAGGACACTGATGACCCAGCACACCAGGACCAGCTGCACACAGAGCTGGGGGTTCATGATGACCGTGTAGTGCAGGGGGTGACAGATGGCCACAAATCTGTCATAGGCCATCACAGCCAGGAGGAAGTTGTCTAAACCTCCAAAAAGCAAGTAGAAATACATCTGGGTGATGCAGCCTGCATAGGTGATGGCTTTGCTCTGCGTCTGGATGTTCACCAGCATCTTGGGGACGGTGGTGGAGGTGAAGCAGACGTCCACCAAGGACAGGTTGGAGAGGAAGAAGTACATGGGTGTGTGGAGGTGGGGGTCTGAGAGGATGGCCAGGACGATGAGCAGGTTCCCAGCCACAGTGACCAGGTACATGGAGAGGAAGAGCCCAAATATGAGGGGCTGCAGTGCTGGGTCCTCTGAGAATCCCAGAAGAAGAAATGTTGAAAGTCGTGTTTCATTGCCTGGTTCCATTTGGCTGAGATGATGACCAGGAAGGACAAAAACAGCATGTCTACTTTTTGCATACAGTCATTGCCCACAGAATGAAATGCATGAATAGTAATTACTTGTTGGAGTAGTGATTTATGTATTTATGCATGGGTCTATCTGGTTCCATTTTGGAGAATCCCTGTTGGCATACCCAAGTAGGGTTTCTATTTGGTTCTTGCTTAGGTTTGAACTCTTACTCTGCTTCCTAATCTATCCTGGTTGGCAGTAAGTGTCAGGTTATTTAGTTGTGTTCTTGCCACTGACATCAGAGACCCAGATGGAGTTTCCAGCTCCTGGCTTTCTCCGGGCAGAGCACTAACTGTTGCAGGCATATGTGGAGTGATCCAGAGTACACTGTATTACTCTATGTCTCTTTCCCTCTGTGATTGTCTGCTTCTCCAACAAATGAAAACAAATATAGGTAAAAATGTAAGAAAATGCACTTACATTGTTTATATCCTTCCAGAGTCACCATCCTATTTTTCTCTTCCCTCAGATCATTGTTATACTTTTCCTGGAGCCACTTCTCAATCTCTGCTCTATCTGTTCTTTCAGCACCGTCATTTTGTTGCCAACAAAGGAGTGCTGTGTGGCTGGTTTCAATGAACACTTCTGTTTTCCAGCATCACAGATAAATACAGTGAATAATTATCAAGAAAGAAGAGTAAGAATACAACCTGTTTATCTGAATTAGACTTGCTTGGACATCAGGTGACTTCACAGAAACATTCTCAGCTTCCACTCTCTCGGAGCCATTCCTGCAGTAGTGAGTGGGCTCTCAGGCTCACCTAGATGGGTTCTCTCAGAAGAGAACCCCCATATGGACAAGTTATTCCTCCCTGGATCATTGATGATGGAGACAGAAGCTTTAGAAGTGACAAGACAGCAGGAAGGAGTACAGCAGTGGTTTCAGAGTCAGATCAAGACTCCAAAAGCAACCACTGTGTTTTGTCCAGGTCGAGGTTGTACTCTTGATGGACCACAGAAGAGGACTGTATTTACAGCTCCCTGTCTCTGTTCATTAGTCACAGCTCCCTCTTGGTGTTCCAGCCTCTGCACTCCTGATTTCCCTGCAGGGACACTGGTCTGGGCAGAAAAAAAATACCATTTTTTCCCCTGCTGATTCTCTATTCCCAAGAGAACAGGTAAGAAGTCAGGTGTGTACTTAGCTGTTATTATTCTTTCTCTGTGAACTCCTCTGCCTCCTATAGGTCAAATCTCCCACCAATTTATTTTTCTTGAGTTAAAATGTTCTCTGGGGTCAAAGAACTTATCTTGTTAGTTGCCTACAGCTTTCAAACATCTCTTGGGAATGCCAGCTCCTGATATCTTCAAAACTTCATATTCCCTTCCCTCTTCAAGAAGGGAAAACTATGGCAGACATTTGTTGTAGCCATTAAGATGCCGTTGGGATGCCCAAGACTCATATAAGGGGTCCATTTTTCAAGTCTAGGCTGTGCTTTCAATCCAGATTCTACTGATGTTCACTGTGGGAGACAGCAGGTGATGGCTCATGTGGTTGGGTCCTTGGTACTCACATGGGAAAACCAGATAGTGGGTCCTGATCAGCTTTCCACACTCTTGACTGTCATGAGCTATTGGGGATCACACCAGGAGATGGAAGATCTCCCTCTCTCTTGTTCTCAACCTTTCATAATGAAATATCATTGACCATTCCATATTAGCAAACATTTCAAAACCCTTTTCAAAAGAAAAAAAGGAGAAACTATTTCTCTGATGTAAAACATCATGGTATTTTTTAGATTCATCACACTTTTGCCAGAAAAATGGAAAATTACAGCACACTTTAAGAACTGCCTTTTACACAGCTCCAGACTTTGCAGTCATCTGGGGAGTGAACCAGCATATTGAAGACATCTCTCTCTCGCTCGCTCACTTGCTCTCACTCTCTCTCTCTCTGCCTCTACCTCTCTGTAACTCCAACTTTCAAATAAATAAATAAACCTTAAAAGAAGAACCACCTTTTAGTTCTCATTAACAAATGTTTGTCAATTAGAGGAGATGAGCTGATATATGGTTTATTTTGCTTTTAGTTGACATAATGAAGGGGGCAGTGCAGTGTCTAGATGCACGTATACATTGTGCCGTGATCAAAGCAAACCTATCACCTTAAACGCTGGTCACTTCCTTGAGTTGGGAACATTCAGAATCCTCTCTTCTAGCTATTTGGAACACAGAGAGCACTATTGTTAACTGTGGTCACCCTACTGGGTGGTAGACACCAGAAGGTTTTCTTCTTATCCAACTGAAACGTTGAATGCACTAACCAACCTCTGCCATCACACGCTGCCACCTGCTCACCCTGATCTTTGCTAACCACTATTCCACTGTCCACTTCCATGAAATCAACTTGATAAGATTCTGCTCACAAGTGCCATCATGTGGTAATTCTCCTCTGTGCCTGGCTAATTCACTTATTCTAATGATCTCTGGGTTCATCCGTGGTTTCCCAAAATGAGAGCGCTCCATTCTGCTTTTAGACTGAATACCATTCATTGTGCTGATGTGTCATATTGAAAAGATTATCTGTTGATGTGTATTTGAAAGGTAGTGAGACAATGAGAGACAGCAAAGACAGATCCAGATCTCCTATTCATTGGTTTACATCAAAATTATCACAAGTGAGTCTGGGCCATGATAAAACCAAGAGCCCAAAACTCAACCAGGTGTCCCATGTGGGCAGTGGAGACCCAGAAACATGGGCCACCACCTGCTGCTCTTAAGATGTGCATTAGCAGGAAGTTGAATCTGAAGCATAGTGGGGATCAAACCCCATATAGTATGAAATGGAATGTGGGCCTCTTGAGGAGTATCTCCACTGCTGGGAGAATACACACCCCTTGACATCTATTTATATCATCATCTGTGTTTCCCATTAAAAAATACCCAAGATCCTTGAGAAAAATTTACTTCCTTCCTCCATTTTATATAAATTTCCTAATCTGTCCTTGGTAAAGGGTTGTAACTCTGTCTATCAAAGTAGCTTTGATTCCTTCCACTTGCAAAGGCATGGTTTTGATGGAACTGTCAAACCAGGGAAATTTATGTTCCAGACCTGCTGCACAGAGAAAATCACAGCTATCAAACTTTGGGGTAATATGTGTATTTTTTTTTCAAAAATTTATTTGTTTATTTGAAATACAGATTTACAGAAAGGTTGAGAGATTGAGAGAGAGAGAGAGACAGAGAGAGACAGATGGAGAGAGATCTTCTGTCTGCTGGTTTACTCCCCCAAAGGGCTGCAATAAACACTGCTGGGCAGAGCCAAAGCCAGAATTCCAGGGCTTCGTCTAGGTCTCACACATGGGTGCAGGGGCCTAAGCACTTGGGCCAACTTCTGTTGCTTTCCCTGGTGCATTATTAGGGAGCTTGTTCTGAAGTTTAGCAGCCATGACTTGAATGGTGCTCATATAGGATGTTGGTGCCACACAGCAGCTTAATCTGCTACACAACATTGCCAGCCCCAAGATGTTCTGGGTGTTTTCATGCATTCAGGTGAATTTGCAATGTGTGTATGTCCACATGTATGTTTATGTTCACACACATGATTGGCTGTAGTTCACATGGTACCAGGTTGACTTGGAAAGAATTGCACACACATAAATTAGTCCCCATGCTTACACAAGTTGATATGCATTTGTGTGATGGCTAGTGATCCTGAGCATTTTCTCAAGTGTTGTTGGATTTTTGAATTTCCTCTCTTAAAAATGCCTGTCCAAGCCCTTTGCCCATTCCTTAACTGGATTGTTTTGTTGTTGTTGAGTTTCTTGAGCTCTTGGTAGATTCTGGTTACTAATCCTTTATCAGTTGGATAGTTTGAAAATATTGTCTCTCATTCTGTCAGATGCCTCTTCACTTTGCTGAGTGTTCCTTTTGCAGTGCAGAAACTTCTCAGCTTGATGTAATCCCATTTGTCAATTTTGGCTTTGATTATCTAGCTTCTGGGGTATATTCCAAGAAGTTTTTGCCTATGCCAATCTCCTCCAGAGTTTCTCCAATGTTCTCTAGTATTTTGATGGTATCATGTCATAGATTTAGGTGTTTGATCCATTTTGAGTGGGTTTTCTGTGTAAGGTGTAAGGTAGGGGTCTTGCTTTCTACTTCTGCAGGTGGAAATACAGTTTTCCCAGCACGATTCATAGAAGAGACTGTCCTTGCTCCAGGGATTGCTTTTAGCTCCTTTGTCAAAGATAAGTTAGTTCTAGATGTGTAGATTGATTCCTGGAGTTTCTTTTTTTTTTTTTTTTTTTTTTTTTTTTTTGACAGGCAGAGTGGACAGTGAGATAGAGAGACAGAGAGAGAAAGGTCTTCCTTTTGCCGTTGGTTCACCCTCCAATGGCCGCCGCTGCAGCCGGCGCACTGCGCTGATCCGATGGCAGGAGCCAGGATCCAGGTGCTTTTCCTGGTCTCCCATGGGGTGCAGGGCCCAAGCACCTGGGCCATCCTCCACTGCACTCCCTGGCCATAGCAGAGAGCTGGCCTGGAAGAGGGGCAACCGGGACAGAATCCGGCGCCCCAACCGGGACTAGAACCCGGTGTGCCGGCGCCGCAAGGTGGAGGATTAGCCTATTGAGCCACGGCGCCGGCCCGATTCCTGGAGTTTCTATTCTATTCCATTGATCTACACATCTATTTTTTTGCCAGTATCAGACTGTTTTGATTGTAACTGCCCTGTGGTATGTCTTGAAATTTGGTATTGTGATGCCTCCAGCTTTCTTTTTGTTGTGTAAGATTGCTTTAGCTATTCAGGGCCTCAAGATTCCATATGAATTTCAGCATCATTTTCTCTATACCTGAGAAGAATGGCCTTGGTATTTTGATTGGGATCACATTGAATGTGTAAATTGTTTCCTGTAGTATGGACATTTTGATGATATTGATTCTTCCAATCCATGAACTTGGAAGATTTTTCCATTTTATGTGTGTGTGTCTCCTTTTTCTTTCTTTAAAGATTTTTTTTTGATCATAGAGATCTTTGTCCTCCTTGGTTAAATTTATTCAAGGGATTTAATCTTTTGTAGCTGTTGTGAATAGGATTGATCTTAGAAGTTCTTTCTCAGCCATGGCATTGCCTGTGTATTGATTTTTGTGTGTTAATACACAATGGGATACTGTTCAGCTATTGGAAGAAGGACATTCTGTCACTCTAGACAACATGAATGCCCTTGGAGGACATCATGATAAGAGCAATAAGCCAGGCACAGAAGGACAAATACCACATGACTCACTGATAAGCAGCATCTTGCAGAGTTGGTCTCATAGAAATAGACAAGGAAAGAGTGGTTAGCAAATGCCAGGGAGTGTAGGTGGAAGAGGAGACTGGGGAGTGGCTGGTCAAGTGGTACAAGATTTTGATGGACAAGAGGAATAAATTCTGTAGTCTACTGCACAGTAGGATGACTACAGTTAACAATAAGGCTCAGTATATCCCAAAATATCTACAAGAGAGGATTCTGAATGTTTCCTTCTCAAAGATATGCTCCTTGTTTGAGGTGATTGATATGCTAATTACCCTGATTTGATCATAACATAGTGCATACATGTACCCAATGTTCAGTGTCCCCCATACATTGTGTCAAATAAAATAAAATACAAATATCACTCTTTTAACTCACAGACATGTGAAAAACTAAGTGACAGTAAATAAATGCAATCTAATTTCTCATTCATGGTGGGAAGAACCACTATATTCTTAAAGTCATATTTATAAAAAATTGTTATTAAAATTTTTAACTCATTATAAGTGAAGAGCCCTTGTTTTACATAGAGAAACAGTTTTTCCCTTCTTGAAGAGGGAAATACCATTGTTCCTGATATGTCTGCAGCTGCATCCCCAACCATACTTTTGGATTAGAGAACACTAGGGATTTCTTGAAGATGAGTTTTTCCATCTTGCATTCTGGAGAAAGTGTTGAATCAAATAGGGTCAGTGGCTGAAAGCATTGCCCTCTAGGAGGCAGGAGAATCCACAGAGAAAGAATAATCAACTCTGAGCACACATGACTTCAATCAGGTCTCGTGGGAACAGAGGATTGGCCAGAAAGTTTCTGCCCAGACCAAAGTCCCCATGGGGAAATCAGGTGCTCATAGGTCAGAGCCCCAGGAGGAAGATGTGCCTACTGTGCAGAGACAGGGAGCTGTAATTCACCGCAATCTTCATCTGGCTCAGGGACTGATGTTTGACTCCTTCCTGCTGTCTCTGTGGGACAGAGCTTCAGTGTCCATCATCATCCATCCCTGGAGGAGTCACACCTCTGCCCAGAGACCTTCCTCCCAGAGAACCCATGCAGGTGAGTCTGAGAGCCCAGCAGGCCCTGCAGGAAAGGCCCAGAGTGGAAGTTGAGAGCTTACCCAAGGTCACCTGATAGCCAATCCTGTCTATTTCAGATAGAGAGATTGGGGTGTTCATTTACTCTCATGCTTAAGTATTGTAATTATTCATGGTGTCAAAATACAGGAGTGCCCTCTGAAACTAGCAACACAGGATTCCTTGTTGACAATTAGATGATCCTAGTGGAAGCCCTGTCAGAGCAGGAATTCAGAAGCACAAAGAAGTTCTGTAAAAGTAGAACAGGGATCCAAGAATCTTGGCAATTAAGGGGTATACAGAAAGATGGTGGGGGGCCGACACCGTGGCATACTGGGTTGTCTCTGTAGTGTTGACATCCCAAAATGGTGCTAGTTCTAGTCCCAGCTGCTCCTCTTCTGATTGAGCTCCATGCTAATGCACCTGGGAAAGCTGCAGAAGGTGGCCCAAGTCCTTGGGCCCTGTACCCATGTGGAAGACCCAGAATTAGCTCCTGGTTCCTGACTTTGGATTGGCCATGCTCCAGCCATTGCAGCCATTTTGGGAGTGTACTAGAAGATATAAGATATCTGTGTGTGTGTGTGTGTGTGTGTGTCTATAACTCTGCCTCTCAAATAAATAAATAAAATCTTAAAGAAAACAAAAGAAAGAGATAAAAATAATGGCAGCTCTGAAGGGAAAGACAGGCATATGAGGACATTTCTGTTTTGATATTTATTTATCTTTATTTTACTTGAATAGGAGAGAAACAAAAAGAAATAGACAAAGACATACAAACAAAAGAGAGAGCCACTCTCCTCTAGTTCATTCTGAAAATGCCTACAACATTTGGCCTGGCTAAGACTGGGCCAGGTCAAAGAAGTCACATGCCCAGAACTCAGTGTGGGTCTCCCATGTGACTGGCAGAATATATGTAGCTGAGTTGTCACTGTAACCTCTCAGAGGGTGTATTAGCAGGATGCTGGAATCAGGAGCAAAGCCATGACTCACACCTGGGCAACCTGATCTGGTATGTGTGTGTCCCAAGCAGTATCTTAAATGCAGCACCAGACATCCCCCCTGCTGTTTTTAATTTTTGAAATGGTGCAGATTGAGATTTTCTGGTGATGAGGCAGATTCTGAACAAGAGATTGTCTTTCAAACTGACAACATCGCTGCCTGTCATTTCATGTGTTTGTGTGTTTGTGTATATGGGGTATGATGTGTGCGTTTGTATGTTGGTGTGCACATGTGTGTGAGTGTGCATGTGTGGTGGGTATGTGAATGTATGTGTGTGCATGTGTGTGGGTACGTGTGGGTGGGTGTGAACATGTGTGTGCATGTCTGAGTGTGTGCACATGTGTGTGGGTGTGTCCACATCTGTGTATGTGAATGTATGCATGTTTGTATGTGTGTGCCTGTGTCAGTGTGTGCATGTGTGTGTGTGTTTGAGGGATAGTCAAGCGTGTTACCAAGTCCATAAGGCCATCTTACTGCCCTACCCCTGCCTTTGCTTTGTTGATGCAAAATGTTCTTTACCTCATACAAGCTGACAAATCATCTTGTGTACATGTATATCCATCTTCTCTTCCTTTTATTCCCTATGGTGTCTCTGGGCTTTTCTAGTTGTATCTATTTCTGAAGGTTGCATCACCTCCACCATCATGTGGCATCAGTTCTTTATCCTTCACTCATCATCAGCTTTTCCACTCGGAGTCATGTTAGAATCTTCACATAAGTGAAGTGATACTTAGCCTGGTCTCCCATGGGGAGCAGGGCCCAAGCACTTGGGCCATCCTCCACTGCACTCCCTGGCCAAGCAGAGAGCTGGCCTGGAAGAGGGGCAACCGGGACAGAATCTGGCGCCCTGACCGGGACTAGAACCTGGTGTGCCGGCGCCGCAAGGCAGAGGATTAGCCTAGTGAGCCGTGGCGCTGTGGATGTGGCCAGGGTCAAGGGCGTGGGGCTTAAAGAGTCCTGGGATAGTGGGCGGGGCCTGGGGTTGAGGGGTTTAGCTGGGTGGTGGGCAGGGTTCTGAGCATGGGAATTACAGGGTCCTGGGATAGTGGGTGATGGGGTCATGGCTGGATGTGGCCAGGGTCACAAGTATGGGGCTTAGAGGGTCCTTGCGTAGTGGGCGGGGCCCAGGGGCTGGGGATGGTTCCCGGGCAGGGACCTGCGGAGGTGCTAGGGAGAAGGGTGGGGTCCCTGGGATAGAAACTGAGGCGTGTCCCTGGATGGTGGGCAGGGTCCAGGTGTGGGGCTTAGAGGGTCTGGGATGGTGGACATGGCCCCAGCATGGGGGTTGGAGAGGAGGCTGTCCCAGCATTCAGTGTGGAATTCCAGACACAGGAGCTGAGAGGGGTCCAAAGATGGTGGGCAGGGCCAGAAACTGAGGGGACTCCAGGGGGATGGTGGGCGGGGTTCAGGGGTGCAGGGACTCCTGGGGAGGTGGGCCTGGGCACAGAGGTGGGGGTAGGCCTGGGACCACACACTTGGCCTCTGGAAGGTTCCACGTGGGTCTGGGGCACAGAAGGGGTCCTTGTTCTGGGTGAAGATTTGGAAAGTAGGCTGGCTTTGCTGGGAACTTGTAGGATCTGTCTCTCTCTCTCTCTCTCTCTCTCTCTCTTTTTTTTTTTTGGATTGGTTTATTTTATTTCAAAGACAGTTACCGAGGTAGATGTTGTATCTTCTGGTTCACTCCCAAAATAGCCAGAACAGCCAGGGCTAGGGAAGGCTGAAGCCAGGAGCCAGGAGCTTCATCCAGGCCTCCCATGTGGGTGGCAGGGACACAAGCACTTGGGCCATCTTCTGCTGCTGGCCCAGGCCATAGCAGAGAGCTGGATCGGAATTGCAACAGCTGCGACTAGAACCAGTGCCCATATGGGATGCCTGGCACTGCACCTGCTGCACCACAGTGCCAGCCCCGGGAGATGTCTTGTGACTCTGCCTCTCTCCCTCCCCGTGGTCCTGCAGCAGCTGTACCGTGTCAGCAGCAGGAAGGGCAGCATCCAGAGGAGGGCCTTGGGAGGTGACGCCCCTGGGGCCCAGTCTTGCTCTCAGCGAGGATGAGAGGCCTGGAGGGGACTTGGAGCTCACGGCTTGATGGTGAAGAAAGGAGGAAGTGACAGGGAAGAGAGCCAGAAGCCAGCGGGGGGTGGGGGGTGCTCTGTGTGCTACAGGAGGCCAGTGATCTGTCGCCAGCTGTGAGGCCAGGGGAGGCCGCAGCCGTCCCATCCCACCCCACCGTCTCTGCGGCCTGGCTCTGAAGGAGAGATAGACCCTGCTCTGGGCCTTCTGATTGCAGGAGTGGCGGCTCGCTGTGTCGTCATGCGGGACGTGGGTTTGTCTCAGCAGGCAGTGATGGGGCCGCTGCTGGGGAACCTGCTCCTGAGGCTGTGCACATCCCAGTAGAAACCACCAGGAGAGCAGAAAGCCAGGGGAGGTCATGAGGTGACACGGGGGCAGGGGCGGGCATCCCATGGGCATAGACGCCCTCACAGCTGCTGGTCTCGGTGGGAGGAGCCTGGTTCTTCAGAAGCTCCAGGTCCGTATCCTGGACCCAGGTGTCAGGAGACAGCAGGTGCGGCCCTGGCAGCGTTCAGCTGGACCCAGTACAGAGGGAACCAGCTGTCCCTTCCCTGCTCCTCCAGAGGGAGGTGACCGAGTTGCCTAGGTGATGTCACAGCAGTCACCCCCGATGCCATCGGAAGACCCTGGACCCTGTAGGGCATTCCAAGGGTGGTTTGGTCGCCATGGCAACACCACCCTGCAGCCCTTGTGGCTGCTGTGCACAGAGGAGGCATGGGCTGAGGCAGCCTCCCACCCACTGCCACACCACTCTGCCTGCTGTGGCCTGACCAGCCCACGTGGCTGGCTCCACCACTCATCTGCCACCACCCGGGCAGGCCCCTTCCTGTCTGAGCTGTTAGCATTCAGTAGCCCCTCGTGCTCTGATGCCCCTCCCCGCCCCAGTGCACAGTGTCTGTCGGTGAGCGAGGCTCTGCCTGTCCCACAGCACAGGAGACGACGGCTGGGCCCCCTCTGGGCAGCTGCCTCGCGTGGGGGCTCCCTGCCCACTGCAGGGCAGATGCTGCTCACTTGTGTTGTTCCTGCAGCTGTGGACACACTAGGCTGAGAATGGGCACCCCTGGGGCCACGGGCACGGCCGCTGCAGAGACCAACAGGGGCTGCGGGTGGTGCTCC